ATTTGGGTATTTAGAGTAGTAAGATAAGTCTGAACCACATATGTCAGGAATTTTGTGCAATATTCCACATTAAAAAAATATTTGGCACATGCACAAAGCTGTTATCCAAAAAGCTCACTGAACTTAGCTGACTACTCCCTGAAGAACAGTTTGCATGACATTTTAGCTAAAGAAAGCTATAAAAATAAACTGCAGTGTTGTTTTTTGGAAATGGTTCAGTAATGTTACTGTCTTTATTGTAGCAGAAAGCCTTCCATATATTCCTGCTGATCACAAGAATAACAGTGGTTAAAAATGCTAATAATCTGATGCATTTCAATTTTCAGTCTTTTAAATTTTTTCATCATTGATCTCATTGGACGCAATTAGAAATAATATACCAGTATTTAGTAAAATACACCCCAATTAATTGAACTGGTATCTTGAAAGCCCTAATATATTCTTGCTTCTATTCTTAAATTTCCCAATCTGCAGTTTTTAGAATTCCCACATAAATCACAGTACGTATTTACAAAATACAAAATTCAGCAAACATAAATTATATATTAAAGCCCAAAAGACCAATTATTAAAGAAGTTAAAAATAGGATATTTACTTCTCTACTCCAAAATTACAAAAACTGTCTCTAATATAAATTCTTATTTCAAGACTTGAGTATTTATTAAAGTGCTGGATTATTTGGATTATTTGACTACTTAAGTTACAAAATATTTCAAACTGAGGAAGACGCATTTATATAAACATAATACCAAAAAATTGAAAGCATGTGATTTCCACTCATATAATTTAACAGTCTTTATATTTTGTGAGCAGGATTTATCAATAGAATTTAAAACAGATTACATTTTCAAAACATATTTATTTTCAAAAGGCAAATTTTCAAAAGGCAAATTTTATTCAGTTATAATCCCAGGTTTTCAATTCATTTCAGTACATAAAAATGCAATTTCCAGCTTGACAAGAACATGTATCCTTGGCCTGCAGAGATCTCATTTTTGTAGATCTTATTTATTTATTTACCACATTACTTAAGCAGATAAGTGACTACAAAGATCTCTTCCATTATTCCTTACCTTTTCAAAAAATGCTGAATTAAGAAAAAAAATCCCAAACTCTCTGTACACATATGAGAGCCTAGTAAATCAAGGAGATGTTTGCCAAGGGTAATTCATATTATTTTTACAATAATAAAAACAATCAATTACAAACATTCACAATCAATTATAATCACAAGTACAAAAAACAAAACAAAACAAAAAAGAAGCATTTAATCAAATGACAAAATAGGAATGAGATAACAATTGCTTGAGGCTTAACAAACAAATGGGCACTAGGTGAATATTGCGAGAAGAGCATTGCAGGCATGTAATGCCATCACAAAAAAGGCCTTGTTCCCTGGAGCTGAAGGAATTAGGCAGCAGATGATGCAAGAAAAAACAGCTTTACTTGCTTCCACAAGACAAAGTCACTATCAATATATTAGTTACCAAGGTACCATGTTTTCCCGAAAATAAGACCCTGTCTTATATTTTTTTGAACCCTGAAATAAGTGCTTGGCCTTATTGCCATGCGCTCAAAAGCCCGATTGGGCTTATTATCAGGGGATGTCTTATTTTGGGGGAAACAGGGTATATAGAACAATAATCTCTCTCAACATAAGATAGCTTTTGATTTTCTTTCTTAATACATAATAAATACTGAGTTCTAAAACATATCTGATTTGAAAGTCTGACTGAAGGAATAGATATATTCCCAAGGGCAAGGTATGCAAATAAAACTAAGTAAATTATAATCTGAAACAACTGCTATTTCCAAAAGAAAGGAAAAGAAATGTCAGTGTATATCCAGCATAGAATGCTGTACAAGCAAAATTCCCAATATGTTATTACAAACTGTGACTTGATTTCATAAAATAGGCATAGGAAAACAAAGGAAAAAATGATGTTGGTGGGCTTTTCCTTTACCATCTGTGGAACCTATTGTAACTATGAAACCATGATGGAAATATTAGAGCTGCTATGCCTGGAAAAAAAAATGCAATGATCATTTCATTCTTCCTGTCTTTTAATGCTCCAGGGTTTTGGAGACAAATAGGAGCAATAAGTTCATTTTGCAGAATTAATGCTGTAATTCTTTATCATAAGAGCAAAGCATTACCTCAATCTGATTTTTCTACAAAATGATTCAAAGTATTTTTAATGATGGCCCTAATTTGTTAACACCTCTTAAATTATTAATCCGCCTTTATATTCAAGTAGTTATTGCATGTCACAACAATGTATCTATGCAAAGAAATTTAATAGTATTTTCTGCATATCAGAAAAAGGCTTGTTCTACAAGATGCTATTAAAATTGATAATGAGCTAAATATTTGCTATAACAAAAGCTAAAATTACTGTATCAATCAACCTGAATGCTCTTATTCAAAACCTCATTAGCTTTTTCTATGTTTAAGTTGCATATTTGTTTTTACATATACCTCAAGTCTTTTATTGTTTGTCTTAAAACATCCACCTTTTGCTATTTTCAATAGCAATACGAATATTTTATGTTTTGTAAATAAACTGTATTATGAAATGCAGAACATATATAGAAAACCACTATGATGAGCAACACTTTTCAAGTCCTAGGACATGCTTAGCTATTTCAATGGGGAAAAAAATGAGAAAAATAAGAATATAGTGCTTTCAGATACATGTTTCCTATTTGTTAGCTTTGTTTATTCTAGATAAATTTATCTGCCAACAAATATGAAATACATGTCTGAAAGTACTATATTCTTATTTTCCCCATTATATTTTCCCATTTAAATGGCTAAGTATGTCCTAGCACTAGAACTGTAGAACTAAAATTGCCCACTAAATATAACAGGACACATATTAGGTTGAATAAAAGCAAAACAAGTAGGGAGGAAAATTTGGCAGCTGCCCTGTTAGAAAAGAACAATCCGAAGGAGCTTCTTGGAGGAGAAGAAAAACATCTTCTTCTTCCTCAGGGAAAAAACAATCCAGTTGCCTTTTGAAAAAGCACCTTTGGGTCAAAAGAATGGAGACTAAAGCGATAGCAACAGAAAATGAACACTTGCCATAGATGGTAGGGTTCTACCTCAATAACAGGTTTGTTATTCCCCTTGCCATGAAATATGGTTAAGTGGAATCAAGATGAATCAAAGTATAAGAGATTGTGCCAAATTATTGTGTGAACTCTTATCATTAAAAAAGCACCAAATTGTTAACATTATTTAAAACGGGCATCTGATTTTGAGGATTCAAAATTAACTAATGTAACTTCTATTTTTAAAAAAGGATAGATCAAGATACAGAAAATGGAGGCAGGTTAGTAGGAAAAAATAAAATATACAGAAGAAGTCTTGAAAACTAGTGAAAACTAATCTGTCGTGGCTTTTATAGAGATAAATCTTTTTCTTTTACTATCTAGTAGTTTGGATGATCCAACATATATTGTACATTTGGATTCAAAAAAATTGATACAGTCCCTCACCAACTGCTTCTGAGCAAACTCAGTGGGATAACAGATTATGGTCTGTCATAGACTAAGTAACTAGTTAAAGAACAAGAAGCAAAATTTTCTAATTGGAGAGACATACAAAGTATGATTCTAGGACGTACAATACAATGGACCAGAGCATTTAAATGTTTAAATAAATGACCTCGAATTAGGAGAAGACAGAGAAGTGGTGAAGTTTGCCGATGATGAATAATAATGAATAAAATGTTCAGAGTAATAAAGCAAAAGTATGGTTGCAGAGAATTACAAAAGTATTACTTTAAATCAGATAAATGGGTATAAAAATGAAAAACTTTATTAACAAATGCATATTGGTCTAAAAAAATTCCAAGCTTTACATTAATTGCATCTGAGATGACAGTGACTGGTGGAAAGAATCTTGCAATTATAGCAGATAGTCTGATAGTTCATGAAACTATCTGTCCACATAGTTTCAGTTCAGAAAAGAAAGTTAAAGGAAAGTTACCTACCAGTATGCTAATGCTTTATATCGCTCTATAGTAAAATCACACTTGGGGTACCAATTCTAGTCACTACAGAATGTAGAAAGCTACATTATGGAGGTAGAAAAGATGCAAAAACTGCAAGCAAAATTACTAGCAATTTACCTACAAGGTGAGACTATAGTGATTGGATATATTAGCTTGGACCAAAAATGGTTAAGGGAAGAAATGCTTAAAAATAAGAATTTTACTCTGTTAAGACTTCAAGATCACCCACTGAAAATAAATACAGGGAAATTTTGGATTGGGAGCAGGTTCATCTAAAGCCTTGCAGCATTAAGCTCAACAACTGTTCTTCCATACTGTCCCTAAGCAAGTCTTCTGTGGAGCAGAGCAGTAAAATCTCTTGTGCTTTGTAGGTACAAGAATATTGTTTTAAAATAAATTAGAGATAAATGAAAATATGGGGAAGCTATATTTAGTGATTATCCTATTTGAAGTATATAAAATTAAATTAGAAATTACATAATTCCTCTTAGAAATATGTTTTCTTCTGTTGAGCATTTTATTATTTGAAATTTCAAGGCAAATTGCATATAATTATGATCTTTTTCTGCTTGCTTGGCAGATCATTCTTCATAACTGTTACTATTAGGATAAGTAGCTAGTAATTAGCTTTGTAATACGTTCTATACCGCTGTCAGTTACATTCAGCATTGTAATGAGTCAGAACAGTCTAGCCTTATGACACTACAGATCTACCTTACGTAATATTAAAACAATAAACATGAACAGTAGAGCAGAAGAACACTTGATGTGTGAACTTGCCAAAGAACTCCCATTCTTCGGCATCAATTCCTAACCATAACAATGCCAAAGTGAAGAAAGAGTATTAATACCATGACACAAATAGTGTCATCACAAAAGTTCCATTCTTCATACTTACTTCACAATTTCATGCACAAGTATACAAAAATGGATTTGCTTTACAATTTCACTTATTTTCCTCTTTAATTTTTACCCCTGCAGATGTCGATGCTCCCATCTCATGTTAGACCTAGGATGGATGGATGGATGGATGCATGTTCACCATAATTCTGAAGTCAACACAAGATGACTAAAGCAACATTATCCAGTAGCATTTTCCAGTCTAGAAAAATGCCTCCTAAATTTTTCATATAAATAATTAGATTAACTAGTCTGAATATTCTGCAGTCTCACTACTTTATCTGAAAGTTAAGATAATACACATGAATCTTTGTTGGAAGTGAAACATTTAATAGTTACTGCTGTGTGATTTTTTTTTTTTTAAAAAAAAACCTTCCCTAAACAGGATTATAACTTTGGAGGCAAGGGCTAAATTGTTTGAGATGATTATGCCTGTCCAAAGAATCCTTAATATCCAGCAATAGATATTTCTACTCTGGCTATGGTGCTAGATCAACATGAGAAACATATACAGGCGTGTTATCTGAATTCGCAAGAAAACGATGGCAGGGAGAGGAATTTTGTTGATTACACGAGATAATTATGTAGTGAAGCATAATTGATTCATATTTTTCTTCTCTCAGTAATAATACGGTAAAATACCATAATTTATGGAGACAGAAAAATAGGTTTTTTTGTAGATAGAGGTACATTACTGTGAGGATTTGGCAGGCCCTCATTAGCAGTATCGGAAAAAGCATTGGGGCTTAGAGAAAAACCAAACTCATATTCTCATCCTTTCAGCAACAGAGTGAGCCTTGATCCATGAAAAAAAGCCAAGATTTAAGACAATATAATTTTCACAACGATGACAAGCAGAATGTAGCTGTTACTACAGGATGATCTGCTAGTTGTTAATAAGAAAAAAAAAGTGAGTTTGTCACTGGTCTTTGCAGGTTCTTAATAGAACTTAGATTACCAACCTGAATAAACTGAAATACAAATTTAATTTTTACATATGTATAATGTATAATGTATAAAATGGAAAGCCTTACTAGATATCTATATTTAAAGCATTTTTGTCAGAAAAAAATAACATAAATAGGAATATTCTAATTTTATTTAGCTACAAAGATGAACATATATTTGTTTGCCAATTTCTGCCAATTTTATTTATTTCTTTATCCAAGCTCTACAAATACTACACTAGTATCTTCAAGAATAGATCTGGTCGGTAAGAGTTCCAATTTTTTTTTTTTTTTTTTTTTGCCCCAATTCAATTATTGCATTCTTGAACTGCAATGTATTCATTTGTGGGCACTGAGTCAGCCAGTGGGAGGGTATTGATTGGAATATAATGTCATGTGAAGCAGTGAGAGTAAGATGAATAAGTGTTTGCTGCTTAACGGGTTGGTATTAAGTAGGTGGGAATGGCTTCTAATTAGCCCCAAATTGCTGTGTTTCACAGTTTTCCTTCTTTCCCTCCTCCTATGGCCACCAGCTGCCAATCTCCCTCTCATTTTTTTTTTCAAATTTTGTATGTGGAGTTCATTGCTCACTGCAGTGCAAGCCTTTGTTTTAAAAAGAGGGCTCCTAGGGTCTCAGCTGCTGGGGTACAGCTTGCTGCCTGCGATGAGTAGCAACTGTCAGTTTATTTTATCTCAGTCTTTTCATCATTCTGCTGAAACTGGTCGAGTGAAACCACCTGAGAGACCTGAGGATTCAGTACCTACAAGTCATTAGCCAGGACTGCTTAGTCTCTCCCTACACAGCAAGTCAACTGAATACAGCCTAAAATACAGTCCACATTAACCCTATTGTTTCCACGATACTTTATTCTGCAAGGGCATCTCTTCTTTAATATATCTAAAATGAAAATTAGAAATGTTTCCAGTAGTAATTAATAGCATGCAAGATCAGCAATCAGTGTTGGCTTCTCACGTCGGGATTCTGATTTTCTGTGCATAATCGAATCACCCAATGTTTATCACAGCAAAATTTAGTTTAATTTACATTATGGGAGAATGCTAACATTAATTTTGCTGGAGCATTCTTTATCAAATTAGGCATTCATTTATATAAATTATGTACTATAATGTAAGAAACGAAAAGTTTATTTACAGATCAGCTACATTTTCTATCTACACTTTTTTGATTCTGGTTTCGATCTTTGCAGGGGATCAAAAAAACTGACCTCACATGTTGCTTTTTACATTAATATTAGCTATTCTTTTGCAATTAGTTTCTTGACAAACTGTGCATAAAGGCAACAACTGATATCTTTATTCCCATCAGAGTTTAACAATACAGAAAATGAAAAGTGTGATGTCTCTTGCTTAGTATGAAATGTTAAAAGAAAGGGACCCAGCATTTTTCTATAAACATATGCATATACGTATTTTACTGTAACCATGAAGAAATTAGTAGGTAGGTAATTGTAAGATATCTCAGCTATGTGTTGGCCCAGGTGACTTGACTTTCAAAAAATATCACCTAAAATTTACATTTTCTTAACAAGGCCTTTGGGGAGATCACATTTTAGATAACCAGCTCACTTGTTTTGGTTCATCCAATATAATTTTTATATAATAAAAGAGACATAAATAAAATATATGTGTGCATTGTGCATTCACTCCAACACACAGGCATCATTAAATATTAAATATCACCCAATGTGCTCTAGGATTGAAATACCAGGAAGAAACTGGTTTAGGGTTTGGAGATGGCCTAGTGGGCAGCAGCAGAGTATTTATTATTTCACAGATTTAAGGTGATAGCCTCATTCTGGGAAAGCACAGTTCACAACATTGTGTTCTAGTTTGTTTTTCTTCAAAAATGTTCTAAGTCATTTGGAACAAGCCTGAGATTTTCTGAAATAAATGAGGACGTTAGAATCTTTAGCCATGGATATCACTTTAATAAAAGGCCTAACCAATAATGATTAGACAATATAATCTGTCCAAAACTTTGGGCCAATTCAAATGTTTCTATAGATCTATGTTTGAATCCTCTATAGTTGCTTCCGAACATCTCTTACTGCCTGTACTCTTTGCATATAGATCAACCATTCCATCAATTATATGTTAAATGTTGAGTGTGGAAGTCCTACAAAATGAAAGTACAGAAAGGCTAGCCCAATTGTTTGGATGAACTTATTCCTACTCTGCCCAAATGAGTAAGTTCCATGCATTTGATCTAAACTCTTCTTTCTAATGAATGTTCTTACATTTTCCATCATGGGCAAAAGAGAAGCACATCCCTCATTGCTCAAGAATAGAAAAATGTAAAAGAAATGAACTGGCTGAAGATATTATTATGGAGGACAAAGTAATTTGTATAGGAGAAGAAATGGGAATTGATTATTGTTTTTGCCAAAGGATGGGGAAGGAATAAGTATAAGAAATGTAAAAAGAAAGAAAGAGGGAATAGCAGAAATAGAAAAAGAAAATGGTCATGAGTCATTCCTTGCTTTCCCTCTGGATTATTTTTCATTTTCTCTGTGGATTATTAGACTTTATACACAAAAAAAATAAAGACATGCTCCTCAGAAAGAAGTGGGAGAAAAGTTTGTTCTTCATTTCTTCCTTTTTTTTAGTGTTTATTTATTTATTTATTTATTTATTTATTTATTTATTTATTTATTCAATTTATATACCGCCCTTCTCCTAGTGGACTCAGGGCGGTGCACAGCCAGAACTAAAATACATAACAATACAAAATTTAAAATTAATTAAAAGAATTATATACTTTGGCCCGAATTAAAACAATGCGAATTAAAACCCATTAACAGATTAAAACTAAACAATTAAAACAATTAAAAACTAAAAAAGGGGACGGGCTTCACGCCAGCCCTGCTTGCTGGAAAAGAAGAGTTTTCAGGGCACGGCGAAAGACCCGGAGATCCGATATCCTTCTTATCTCCGGGGGCAAATTGTTCCAGAGGGCAGGAGCTGCCACAGAGAAGGCCCTCCCCCTGGGGGTCACCAGCCGACATTGCCTGGCTGACGGCACCCTGAGGAGTCCCTCTCTGTGGGAGCGTACTGGTCGGTGGGAGGCTATCGGCGGCAGAAGGCGGTCCCGCCTGGGTGTGTTGATTGCTAACACACCCAGAGGGCACCAAACTACTAAAGAAATGTACTAATGTTTCACCATGTAAAGACAAAATTATAAATGAAGCATACAACAGATGAAAGAACTTAAAAAATGTAAAGATAAAGTATTTAATTATAAGATATAAAAAAGGACAGGTGATGTTTTAATGTTCACAAGAAAGTAGCAAAAAGGACATATTATAATTAAAATGAGAATAACTATTTTTTTTTTTTACAAAAAGGAAGTACAAAATATCAGGCTAATAATTAGTAATGTTTAAACACATAGTGAAATAATAGAGTCCAAGACATGCCTCTGAATATAAAATTGTGTTTTTCCTTCATAATTTTGCTGGACCATTAGAAATCTCCCTCCCACCCCAATATAGCAGCAGCAGTATCTTGAGTATATTTTCTTTCCTTTTATATATAATTTTTCTTAAGGATTTTGATTATAATAATCAAACTAAACTTAAGGTAGAATAGAAAATGGAGAGTAGAATATGTTTTCAAACTTATTCTGAAGGTCTTAGCTCAGAAGAATTAATGAGTAATTTCCAAAAGTTATTAAAAAGTGAGGTTTACAAATTTGATTTCTTTTTAAAATCTCTGCCATGGTTGTGAGCAAGTTGGCTAATCTCCTTATCTCTTGGCACTCAAATGCAAGGAAAACTGCTATCCTCCAGTCTCCTTGCAGGGAGCAGCCATCTGGAGCATATGTGGATGACTTCCTCTCATCTCTTTATTTGGAGAGTTTAAAGGAACCAGTCTACTCAGACGTTTCTTGGTTTTTATTGTGGTCATTTTCTACTTTCACAGAGCTGTCTCAGTTTGCCATACTTCTCCCAGAAATCCAGCATATTTTTTCGTTTTCTGGTAAGTGGGATGAGCTACAGTATGTCTAGATAAAAATTCAGAAATGAAACTGAAAGTCAGTTGCAAAAAAATATTTAATGAAAATTGCAATTGACTTTAAATGTTATTTTCACACTAGTTTATGTGGTCTATATCTCCCAAACTATATACTATCCTGGGTTTCCCCGAAAATAAGACCAGGTCTTATTTTGTTCTGGGCCCCAAAATAAGCACTAGGACTTATTTTCGTGGGTGTGTATCATTTTCCCCCCATGTACAGGAGACCCACTTCTGCTTGCTCGCAGCAGGGCAGGAGGCCGCATGGGGTGCTAGTGCTGCCGCTGCATGGCGGGGTGTGTGTGAAACTGCCTCACGTGCCCCACACCGGCTTACCTCAGGGCCCCAGC